GTAGAGAATGGTGTCCCCCCCCCCTTAGTAGCCTGCAGGCTGTCAACAAGGAAGGAGGGGTGCAACACGCTGAGATCTGGCATGTCATAACCATAGAGTTTCACACCAAACAAAAAAAAATCTCCAAAAAAAAAAAAAAAAAAAAAAAAAGATATTGACACTGGTTTCCATTTTCTGCAACAAGTATTAAAAGATTGTCATGATTTTTGCACACGTTACTGAGGAATGATGGTTCTACAAACACCCAGGGGGATATTTGCAAAATTGTTTACAGCTGTTTTTAACCCTTTGAGGGTCGACAGGCCCTCTCCGAAACTCGTTCTCAGGGTCGGCCAAATTTAAAAAAAAAAAAAAATTATTTTCTCTTATGAAAAGATAGAGAATCTTTTCCCGATCATAACGACACCAAAAGTTTGAAATTTGATAGAAAACTTACGGAATTATGCTCTCGCAAAGTTAGCGTCTCGGCGATGTTTACGGATCGGCGATTTTGCCCACTTTGAGCCCCATTTTTCGGCCAATTTCACTGTACTAGTCGACAAAAAACATGAATATTTCGCTAGATCTCCATTTTTTCTATCGAATGGTGCAAGAAACCACCCATTTATAAATTCAACTATCCAGTACAGTGGTCAGAATTTAGCAATTTTGCCAATTTCACACAAATTTCAAAAGATGCCAATTTCGGAATAGGGTCCAGAATAAACAAGAAAGACATTCCTGGCACTAAAACGACATTTCCTCTAGTCATTAGTCACGTCTCAAGGCCCCTCTTATATTCTTTTGCTTTCCACTTTGAATTTTTATTCTCACAAAAAATATAAGATTTACTGTTATGCAGACTACTGCATTAGTGTAAAAAATGGTATAAATATTATTGGTGCACTTGTGAAAGAATATTAGACTCACCAGTTGACGTGTATTGCACGCTTGGCACGATTTGTTTTACTTTTGAAGTTTGGTAAAAATCGAACATTTCTGCTACTTTGAGCTCAATTTCATGGCACCTTTCATTGTAAAACCAGTCAAAATCATCTCAATTTCAGTAATATGTCTTCCATTCTATAAAATGAGACCAAGAAAACTAGAATACAACAATAAATACCATAACGAAAATACACTGCAAAGTCGCTGATTTATTAAAAAAAAATGGAAAAAGTTTTTTTTTTCTCATTATGCACCGTTTGCTGCAGGATTTTTTTTAGACTGTGCACACTGACCACATAGACCCATTCTTTCATATGAAGGCCTACCAGCTTTCTCCCACTAGATTTGAGGTCGCTAGAATTTATGAGTACTAGTACGTCAAAAACCCCTACGCGTAAGACGTACTAGTACGACGAAAACCCTCAAAGGGTTAATGTGTGGTGTAAATATTATGCAGAAAATTCGGAGTGTGGAAATTAGAAGGTGTGGAGTTAATAAAAGTATTAGTCAGAGGGCTGAAGAGTGGTTGTTGAGGTGGTTTGGTCATTTAGAGAGAATGGATCAAAGTAGAATAACATGGAGAGCATACAAATCTGTAGGGGAAGGAAGGCGGGGTAGGTGTCGTCCTCGAAAGGGTTGGAGGGAGGGGGTAAAGGAGGATTTGTAGGCGAGGGGCTTGGACTTCCAGCAAACGTGCGTGAGTGTGTTAGATAGGAGTGAACGGAGACGATGGTATTTGGGACCTGACGAGCTGTTGGAGTGTGAGCAGGGTAATATTTAGTGAAGGGATTCAGGGAAACCGGTTATTTTATATAGCCGGACTTGAGTCCTGGAAATGGGAAGTACAATGCCTGCACTTTAAAGGAGGGGTTTGGGATACTGGCAGTTTGGAGGAATATGTTGTGTATATACATATATACTTCTAAACTGTTGTATTCTGAGCACCTCTGCAAAAACAAGTGATTATGTGTGAATGAGGTGAAAGTGTTGAATGATGATGAAAGTATTTTCTTTTTTGGGGATTTTCTTTCTTTTTGGGTCACCCTGCCGACGGCTGACTTGTTAAAAACACACACACACACACACACACACACACACACACACACACACACACACACACACACACGTGCACACACATGCGCACACACACACGCACTCACATGCATGCGCACACGCACCCCCCCACACATGCACACACGCACGCATGCACATGCACGCACACACATGCACACACTTTCACACACACGCACACACATGCACACACACATGCACACACAAAAAATTACTAACTTCAACATTTTTTAAAGGAAGCCACTGACATAATTGCTGAAACAGCTTGGGTTAACAATAATCTAGCCTTTATCTTTCATCTGATGTTAACTAGAGCATTGTACATCTCCCAAATTTAGTCTATACATTTTTTATGCTGCTTAATCCACTGTGAAAATCTCGCAAAAAAAAAAATGGTGATTTCGTTCACCCTTCCCTGAAGCTCTATCATTATTATTATAATAATAATAATTATTATTTTTATTATTATTATTAATTCAGAGAACTGGAGCACAGGTGCAATTCCCTAGATCAAGAGCCCTCGCCAGCATCATGGTTCCTTGATGCTGATGAGGGGCTCTTGATCTAGGGAATTGGATCTGTGCTCTAGTTACCTAAATTAATAATAATAATAATAATTATTATAATTATAGGTAGTAGGTTGGTAGACAGCAACCACCCAGGGAGGTACTACTGTCCTACCAAGTGAGTGTAACATGATGGTAGGTTTGCTGGTGTTCTTTTTTTCTGTCTGATAAATATGCAAGATTTCAGGTACGTCTTGCTACTTCTACTTACACTTAGGTCACACTACACATACATGTACAAGCATATACAGTGGACCCCCACCTAATGAACGCATCGCATAACGCTAATTCCGCCATACGAAGCATTTGAACGCAAATATTTTGCCTCGCCTCACAATAAAAAACTCGGCCAACGTGATTCCTCCCAAACCTACCTGTCCAGCCTGAGCACCTCAGCTGCCCTGCCATCATTGTTTACAAGTCAGGGTGGCCGGTTGCATGCATTCAATACATTTTGTATTATATTCCATTGTTTATAGTGCTTGTAATTGCTAAATAAGCCATCATGGGCCCAAAGAGAGCTTCTAGTGCCAACCCTGTGGTAAAAAGGGTGAGAAATACGTACTATAGTAGCACAGTCAGCTGCTGCTGCACCACAGTCAGCTGTTGCTGCACCATGGTCAGCTGTTGCTGCACCAGTCAGCTGTTGCTGAACCACAGTCAGCTGCTGCCGCACCACCATCAGCTGCTGCTGCACCATCATCAGCTGCTGCTGCACCACCATCAGCTGCTGCTGCACCACAGTCAGCTGTTGCTTCACCACAGTCAGCTGTTGCTGCACCACAGTCAGCTGTTGCTCCACCACCATCAGCTGTACTACTCGAAGATGTGGAGAGTGTGTTGTTGGTGTGGCTTAACGGGAAACAATTACTGAGAAACAATTAACCCCAGATGGTTAGCCACCCAGGATAACTCAAGAAAGCCAGTGCACCATCGAGGACTGTCTAACTTATTTCCACTGGGTCCTTAATCTTGTCCCCCAGGACGCGACCCACAACAGTCGACTAACACCCAGGTGAACACGAAAAGATGCCTGGAACTAGTGCTAATATTTAAGGCCAGCAAAGGTTGGTTTGATAGATTTAAGAATTGTAGTGGCATACACAGTGCAATAAGACATGGTGAAGCTGAAAAATTCCAACCCCAACAAGTGTTCAATTGTGACGAAACAGGCCTGTTCTGGAAGAATATGCCAAACAGGACCTACATTACTCAGGAGGAAATAGCACTCCAAGGACACAAGCCTGTAAAAGACAGGCTAACTCTCATGTTTTGTTGTAATGCTAGTGGGGATTGCAAAGTGAAGCCTTTACTCATGTATCACTCTGAAAATCCCAGTGTTCAAGAAAAAGTGTCTCATCACTCATCAATACTCTTCAATAAAGTTAAGTGTCATTTTAACATATATTTATGTAGTTATTGTGCATATCTCATTATTTTCTTTGTAGGGAAAAGTATATTTCATGAAAAAATTTTTTTTAATACTTATGGCTGTCTGGAACGGATTAATTGGATTTCCATTATTTTTTATGGGGAAAATTAATTCGGCTAATGATGAGCTCTCAGGAACGGATTAATATCGTAAGGCAAAGGTCCACTGTATATACAAACCCCTGTGGGTTTTCTTCTATTTTCTTTCTTGTTCTTGTTTATTTCCTCTTATCTCCATGGGGAAGTGGAACAGAATTCTTCCTTCCTAAGGCATGCGTGTTGTAAGAGGCGACCAAAATGCCAGGAGCAAGGGACTAGTAACCTCTTCTCCTGTATAAATTACTAAATTTAAAAAGAGAAACTTTTGTTTTTCTCTTTGGGCCACCCTGCCTCGGTGGGAAACGGCCGATTTGTTGAAAAAAAAAAAAAATTATTATAATAACGAATGCTGCCAATTCAGTGCACTGTTTACCTCGCTGTGGGAGCAGTTCTCTCATGCTTTGCTTACATATTTGACAGTCATTTGGCCGAATTTTGTTTTTCTAAGCATGGGTCCTAAGAAATAAGTGTAAAGGACAGTGCTGAGAAGAAAAAGAGAATGATTTCCATGGAATTAAAGCATGAAATCATAGATAAACAAGCGAGGTGTCCAGGTTTTGGGTTGAGGGGGAAGTGGAGGGGAGATGGCTTGTAACTCAAATGTTGGCTCGTAACTCATAGCAAAAAATCGATCCAGGGACAGCTTGTATCTCAAAAAACTCATATGTTGGGACACTCGTAAGCCAAGGTTCCACTGTACTAGCAAAACAGCTATGAATCTGGTTGACTGGAAAAATGTAATTTGGCCTAAAATAGAACTTAAAGTGGGCAAAATTGCTGATGCATAAATATTGCTGGGGCAGCAAAATTCGCATAAGCGTAATTTCACCAGTTTTCCATTAATTTTGATTTTATTTGAAAAAAAAAAAAAAACTGAATATCAATACAATAAAGTTTATCACTTACTATTGTCACAGCTAGTTAGTGATGATGATCTAGACCACTGTGCCAAGGTATGAATAGCAATGAAATTAGGTCCATATTCACAATTTGGATTTGTGACAACACCCCTGAGCAGAGGTATCAGATCTGGAGAACGACCACAGTATGGCCCTAAAAAAAGCCTTGCTTGGTCATAATCATTTGCATGAAGGTTGTCCCAAATAACAGGTGGTCTTCGCATTACTTCCGTTACTTCTCTTATGTGTTCAACACTCAGAATCTGAAATTATTAAAATAATAATAATCATGGGAAGCACTAAATGTTTTAAGGTTCAGACAATGCCTGGGAATGAGAGGCAATCAGGATCAATCCTGGGAAATTAAATGTACTGTCCAATGCCTTTAGATAAAGGGCCCTTCATCAGCATCAATGCACCATCTTGAGGGTTCAAAAACTAAAATAAAATTTAATAAGAATTAATATGAAAGCCTAGGGAACTAATGGATTTGTCAGTTAAAAACAGAGTAGGGGAGTTAGTAGATGGGGAGCTGGAGGTATTGGGTAGATGGCGAGAATATTTTGAGGAACTTTTAAATGTCGGTGAAGAAAGGGAGGCAGTAATTTCATGCACTGGCCAGGGAGGTATAACATCTTTTAGGAGTGAAGAAGAGCAGAACATGAGTGTGGGAGAGGTGCATGTGGCATTACATAGAATGAAAGGGGGTAGAGCAGCTGGAACTGATGGGATCATGACAGAAATGTTAAAAGCAGAGGGAATATCGTGTTGGAGTGACTGGTATTTTTGTTTAATATATGTATGAAAGAGGGGAAGGTACCTAGGGATTGGCAGAGAGCATGTTTAATTCCTTTATACAAAGGGAAAGGGGACAAAAGACTAAAAATTATAGGGTAATAAGTTTACCAAATATACCAGGTAAAGTATATGGTAGGGTTATTATTGAAAGAATTAGAGGTAAAACAGAGAGCAGGATTGCAGATGAGCAAGGAGGCTTTAGAATGGGTAGAGGATGTGCAGATCAGGTGTTTACAATGAAGCATATATGTGATAAAAGTATTTAGATAAAAGTAGGAAAGTTTTTATTGCAATTATGGATTTAGAAAGGCATATGATAGCATGGATAGGGGAGCAATATGGAAGATGTTGCAAGTGTATGGAATAGGTAGCAAGTTACTAAATGTTATAAAGAGTTTTTATGAGGATAGTGAGGCTCAGGTTAGGGTGTATAGGAGAGAGGCAGATTACTTCCTAGTATAAGTAGGTCTTAGACAGGGATGTGTAATGCCACCATGGTTGTTTAACATATTTATAGATGGGGTTGTAAAAGAAGTAAATGCTAGGGAGTTGGGGAGAGGGGCGAGATTAAATTATAGGGAATCAAATACAAAATGGGAATTGACACAGTTACTTTTTGCTGATGATACTGTGTTTTGGGGGATTCTAAAGAAAAGTTGCAAAGGTTAGTGGACGAGTTTGGGAGGGTGTGTAAAGGTAGAAAGTTGAAAGTGAACACAGATCAGAATAAGGTGATGAGGGTACCAAACGATTTAGACAAGAAAAATTGGATATCACATTAGAGGGAGGGAGGATGGAAGAAGTGAATGTTTCCAGATATTTGGGAGTTGACTTGTCAGCGGACAAGTTAACGAAAGATAAGGTTAACCATAGAACTGATGAAGGAAAAAAGGCGAGTGGTGCGTCGAGGTATCTGTGGAGGCAAAAAAAAGTTATCCATGGAGGCAAAGGGAATGTACAAGAGTATAGTGGTACCAACACTCTTATAGGGGTATGAAGCATGGGTTGTAAATGCTGCAGTGAGGAGGTGGCTGGAGATGTCCTGTCTAAGGCAATGTGTGGTGTAAATATTATGTCCCATTTCAGCCTAATACTAATATGCCCCATTTCAGCCTAATACTAAATACGCCCCATTTCAGCCTAATACTAAATAATATGCCCTATTTCAGCCTAATACTAAATAATATGCCCCATTTCAGCCTAATACTAAATAATATGCCCCATTTCAGCCTAATACTAAATAACATGCCCCATTTCAGCCCTCTGACTAATAGTAAAAGTATTAGTCGGAGGACTGAAATGGGGTTGTTGAGGTTGTTTGGTCATTTAGAGAGAATGGAACAAGGTAGAATGATTTGGAAAGTGTATAAATCTGTAGGGGAAGGAAGGCGGGGTCATCCCCGAAAAGGCTGGAGGGAGGGGGTAAAGGAGGTTTTGTGGGCGAGGGGCTCGGAATTCAAGTGAGCATGTGTGAACGTGTTAGATAGGAATGAATGAAAGTGAATGGTTTTTGGGACCTGACAAGCCATTAGAGTGTGAGCTGAGATTCAGGGAAACCGGTTAGCCAGACTTGAGTCCTGGAAATGGGAAGTACAATGCCTGCACTTTAAAGGAGGGGTTTGGGATATTGGCAGTTTGGAGAGACTCGTAAACTGTCGTATCTGAGCGCCTCTGAAAAGACAGTGATTATGCATGAGAGGTGATAGTGAATGATGATACCTGGAGATGAAAGTACTTTCTTTTTGGTTCACCCTGCCTCGGTGGAAGACGACCAGTGTGTTAAAAAAAAAAAGAGAAACTTTCTTGTTAATGTCCAAGATGTCTATCATGTGTGCTAAGAGCAGTTTTACTCTCCTACAGAGTCAGATATATTTACCTTCCCAGCTTTGTATGCTATTAACTACTACACAGGAAGAATGGAGTTTTCTTCAGCACATCCCACAGTAGATGCCTCTTTTGGTACACTTAACCCTTTGACTGTTTCAGGCCCCTCTCTGAAACTGTCATTCTATGGCGCCAAATATTCAAAAAAAAAATTATTTTTTCTTATGAAAATGTTAAGATTATTTTTCTGAGTGTTTTAGTCCAAAAAAAAATTTTTTGCCATCGGTACTTACCGAGATATAGAGCCGTGAAGTTTGCAGAAAATGAGCCGCGTATGGCAACAGCGGCGACTGCCGCTCACCCGGTAAACTTTAGTTTACTTGTAATTGAAGGTTTTTTGTTTTTTTCACTATTTTATTTTTTCACATAACTTATGTGGCCTATGAGACCAAAGTAAGGTGCAATGTATATATATACACTCGTTGTATACAAACATAATAAGCACACAAACATAATTATCAATATATTGTTTACAAAACTTGTTTACAAAAACAAACAAACAATCATCCCTCCTCCTCCTCCTCCTCTCCTCTCCTCCTTCTCCTCCTCCTCCCTCCTTCTCCTCCTCCTCCTCCTCCTCCTCCTCCTCCTTCTCCCCTCCCTTCCTCCTTTCTCCTCTCTTCCTCCTTCTCCTCCTCCTCCTCCTTCTCCTCCTCCCTCCTCCTTCTCCTCCTCCTCCTCCTTCTCCTTCTCCTCCTCCTTCTTCTCCTCCTCCTTCTCCTTCTCCTCCTCCTCCTCCTCCTTCTCCTCCTCCCTCCTCCTCCTCCCTCCTCCTCCTCCTCCTCCTCCTCCTCCTCCTCTTCCTCTTCCTCTTCCTCTTCCTCTTCTTCCTCCTCCTCCTCCTCCTCCTCCTCCTTCTCTCCTTCTCCTTCTCCTCCTCCTCCTCCTCCTTGTCTTGTGTGCGAGTGTGTGGCTTATAATTGTTTTGAGTCAGAAGTCGGCAGCTGTCAAAGTGACATATTGTCTCATTAGTCACTCCCCCTACTGCCTGTCAAAACAATGGGGTCGGATGCTGCTTCCCCTCCTCCATTCTATCTAATTATCTTTCTCCCTCATTCTATATCTTTCAATCTGTCTCTCTTTCTGTCTGCCTATCTCTGTCTCACAGGTACACATAAATACAAGTATACGTAGTGTAAATTACCTAGGATAACCCAAGAAATCCAGACAAAGTGCTATACTCTGCTTGAAGATGTGAGTAAACGTGATGACACAGTCTTGTGGCTCTCTCTGAGACAGAGAGCTAGATGGACAGACAGGGAGCTTGACAGACAGACAAATAGACAGACAGAAATGTTTGTGTACCAGCAAAAACAAAGGGAGGGCGATGGTCATGTAATATTACCCTCCTTTACGCTCATCAAAGTCAGCTCTTATCAGATGTTATCTCCCCTTATCTTGTCACTGTCATGTGGTGGACTTTTTTTTTTCTTGCTTCAAGGGAACAATATTATTACATCATCTTCTTCCTCCTCCTCCTCCTCCTCCTCCTCTTCTCCTCCTCCTCCTCCTCTTCTTCCTTCCCTCCTCCTCCTCCTCCTCTTCCTCCCCTCCTCCCCCTCCTCCATTGCTTTTGGTCTCAAACTCCTCCAAATCATGAAATTGATCTTCACTGACACTTCCATCTGTGTTAGAGCATCACTTGGGAAGAGAAGAGTCCCAGATTTGCTGGGGAATCGCATATTTCTTACCGCTAGACATGCTGAAAAAGGACAACTGAAATGGCATTCCCACAATGCACCACTGGCTCCCCGATTTTTTTTATATGGTGCACACTGACCATGGAGACCCATTCTCTCACATGTGGGCCTACCAGCTTTCTCCTGCTTGATTTGAAGGTGCTAGAATTTATGCGTATAAATACATCAGAAACATTGGCTCGTAAGACGTATTTATACGTCGGAAACAGTCAAAGGGTTAAAGCTCGCATAACAGATTTCATCTTTGGACATTCTGATAGCTATGTGGAGTGTGTGGTGTGCTGTGTGTAACAGGCAAGAAAGCACATTACCACCAAAACCTGCTACATTCCTACCTCAACCCAACCAATTGTTCACCATATTTCATAAGGTAGGGAGCAAGGGTGGTAAATGCAGCAGCGAGGAGACGGTTGGAGGCAGTGGAGATGTCCTGTTTAAGGGCAATGTGTGGTGTAAATATTATGCAGAAAATTCGGAGTGTGGAAATTAGGAGAAGGTGTGGAGTTAATATAAGTATTAGTCAGAGGGCAGAAGAGGGGTTGTTGAGGTGGTTTGGTCATTTAGAGAGAATGGATCAAAGTAGAATGACATGGAAAGCATATAAATCTATAGGGGAAAGAAGGCGGGGTAGGGGTCGTCCTCGAAAGGGTTGGAGAGAGGGGGTAAAGGAGGTTTTGTGGGCAAGGGGCTTGGACTTCCAGCAAGCGTGCGTGAGCGTGTTAGATAGGAGTGAATGGAGACGAATGGTACTTGGGACCTGACGATCTGTTGGAGTGTGAGCAGGGTAATATTTAGTGAAGGGATTCAGGGAAACCGGTTATTTTCATATAGTCGGACTTGAGTCCTGGAAATGGGAAGTACAATGCCTGCACTTTAAAGGAGGGGTTTGGGATATTGGCAGTTTGGAGGGATATGTTGTGTATCTTTATATGTGTATGCTTCTAGACTGTTGTATTCTGAGCACCTCTGCAAAAACAGTGATAATGTGCGAGTGTGGTGAAAGTGTTGAATGATGATGAAAGTATTTTCTTTTTGGGGATTTTCTTTCTTTTTTTGGGTCACCCTGCCTCGGTGGGAGACGGCCGACTTGTTGAAAAAAAAAAAAAAAAAAAAAAAAAGGGAGCAAGGGGCTAGTAACCCCTTCTCTTGTATAAATTACTAAATTTACACCTCATTAACACTTACCTTTACCATTTAATATACTATTATGACTTGTCACATTATTTTTATAACTGCACTCCTACGCTGCAAAACAGAGACCCATTAAGAGCTTAACTGGCAGCTTATGGAAACCCTGTTCAATGATCACTCTGTACTATATATACTGTACTTCATTAATGATCATTCATTTATAATGTAACTGAGAACAATGTACAAGATTCACTAGCACAATTTCATCCATTTAACATCACTAACAAAGGAGTTCACTGCATTCCCTAAATGTAGGCCTGTGGCACCAGTACAGTAGAACCTGAATATTCGTACATCATTATATTTGTACAACTCGATATTTGCCCAACTTTATCAAGAAAGATTTGATTTGGTATTCAGACGTTGCCCTGATATTCAACCTAAACAAAACAGTCTATCTGGGCAAAGTCCGACAAAAACAAAGCATCATGCACTAGGTCTCTCGTCAACTTTCACTCATTAAGCATCGTTCATACAAGCTTGGTGAAACTCTTTGGTATTTCATTGTTATTCAGTGAACTTTTTAAAATATTTTTCTTGAAAATAAGTAATCACGGCCCCAGAAAATAGTAGTGATTCAAACAAGCCTAAAAGGAAAAGTGAGAACAACAATAAAAGTGAAAAAAAAAAAAAACAATGCAAAGTAGGAAAGTGGAACACTGTTTTCCTTGTTCCCTGAGCCATAGGCCACCCAAGCCAGTTTATTGTTGGTGCTCACTCATGCATATACTCATCACTGTCTCTAATTTTCCCTTGGATTTACAGTGTTCTGAGTAACTTTTGTATCATTAAGTAAAGTGCAATTAACAATGACAGAGCGAGTGATGGTGCCAAGAGGAAAAGTGTGGTTCTCAGTTTTTAGCAGAACGAACTAATAAAGAAGGTAGAGTAAGGCATCTCAGTGGCACGTCTTCTCAGCCATCTACATTATTTTCACTAACAGTTTTACAGCTCCCCTGACTCCGAATAAAAATTATTCAGTCACCAGTATTGATCATGGCAGTTTACACCTCATCTCTCCACCATAAAAAGTAAACTTATTGTAAATTACATAATTACTATAAAATTAGTATACAGTACTGTACTCTAGTACATACTGCAAGTTACAATATCCTTACTCTTAATGTCTGGTTGTCTTCTGAACCAGAATGATTCAGATGACATCTGGACAATCATGAGAAATTATTTCATAATTTGGAAAATTTGGACAATTTGCAACATTGAACATCCCCCTCCCCACTATTAGTCCATTAATTAGAGGGTTCACTGTACCGGTACTTCACAGACAACTAAAAAGTTAAAAGACAATCTAACCTAATGCGAGAAATTTGCTAAAAAAAAAACTCGTATAATAAATCGACTCAAGATTTAGAAGAAGCTGAGGAATAACCATAGCTAACATTAAAAAATAATCTTAAGCCATTAGAATAAATTGTCAACAAGGAAAATTGCAAAGAATGAAAATTCAAGAACCCAAAGAAATAATAAGGAAGCAAGTAAGCATAATCACAAGTGCTCAGAAAGAGAATTTTGAGCTAATACAGAAATCATGTCAACCCAAAGAATTAGGGATTAACTTAAGGAAGAGACCAGAGTTGGTGCATATGCACACATTAGATACAGGTTAAGCTACTAACCTTGCTTATAACTTTTGGTCCAGTCCACATGATGTCTATTTCAGGAGCCAATTTTTGGCCAATGGTATTCAGATATTCTGAAGTTTGTACATTTGGTACAGCTCTTGTAGAGCAATACTGAGTTGGACAAAACATAAATTTTGGTTGTGCCAAATGGGTAAAAACTTCATTGGTAACTGAAACCTGAGCATGTGCAAATGACTGAAATATTTCTTTGTCTGCACCACTCATCTCAGGATCTATATCATCAAACAGAATTGCAAAAGCATTGCAACCCAGCTGTGCAACTTGTTCTAGTTTCCTCTTAAGAGCTGCAACTTCCTTTTGACTGGAGTAAGTAATGTCTAAACCAGGAGATATGGCATAAAAGAACGTTACACCATGCACTCGAGCTTCAGTTATGAGAGCGGTAAGATGTTCAGCTTCTTCAACTGTATACAATTCACGCCAGTTTGCCCGATGCTTGTAGTCATCCTTTGGGGCATAAAGATAACAATTCATGCCCCACTTCTGCTGCCTGAAAAGAAATGTTTGAAATCATTAATACTACCAATTCAAAGGTAATGGTCTTGTATTTTATGAACTTTTGTATAAAGTACTCCAGCCACACTTTTAAATTCCCCAAAGCAAACACTGAGGGTGGCATACACTCCTGTCACATTGGCATGAAATTGAAGCCTGGATTGCTGGTTTTTGTCATAGGACCATAAAGACAGCTCGTAAGTAAAAGTAAAACTTATGTCTGAAAAGTTTTGCTTACATTCAGTATACCATAACCTCCATTTTCCTTCATGGTTCTTGATAGTCCATATTCATGTAATAATTCCTAGTCAATGTATTAAAGCAAAACCCTAATCACACATGACTGCTTCATAACCAAATTTCAACATGCCACAAGGTAATAAAAACACTAAGGGAGAATGGAAACTTATTAAGACAACTTTGTCTCAATACTCTCTTCCATTCTGCTATTTAATCTTGTCAGTTTTACAACCTCTTCCCCACCTAACATGGCCACTGAAAACTCTATGCCAAAAACTACACCCAGTCTATAAATGGATTCAAACTTGCTCATTCTGCAGCACGATATGCAGTACTTTCACCGCACAGTCAGACCTGACAAGTATGACCACCTAGCCCACCTTTTCACTCACTTGCACATACATGCAGGCATGCACACGCACACACATGCACACAGCGTATGGGCACTTGGCAAACCTGAGAACAGCGTTCCAACACCTCAGCAAGGAATCATTCAAAACAGTACAGTGTACGTGAAGCCCATATTGGAGTATGCAGCACCAGTTTGGAATCCACATGGTCAAGCACTTCAAGAAATTAGAGAAAGTGCAAAGGTTTGCAATAAGACTAGTCCCGGAGCTAAGGGGAATGTCCTACAAAGAAAGGGTAAGAGAAATCGGCCGGATGACACTGGAGGGCAGGAGGGTTAGGGAAGACGTGATAACGACATATAAAATACTGCGAAGAGTTGACAAAGTGGACAGACAGAATGTTCCAGAGATAGGACACAGAAACAAAAACACAATTGGAAGCTGAAGACTCATATGAGTCAAAGGGATGTTAGGAACTATTTCTTCAGTTATAGAGTTGTCAGGAAGTGGAATAGTCTGGCAAGTGATGTAGTGGAGGCAGCAACCATGCATAGTTTTAAGACGAGGTATGATAAAGCTCATGGAGCAGGTAGAGGGCCTAGTAGCACCCAGTGAAGAGGCGGGGTCAGGAGCTGAACCTCAAGCCCTACAACCACAATTAGGTGAATTAGGCGAGGACATACGTATGTACGTGTACACACACACACACACACACACAACTGAGGAGGAGGTGAAGAAGCCACTAAGTGACCTTGATACCTCAAAGGCAATGGAACCGGACAACATCTCCCTGTGGGTCCTTAGAGAGGGAGCAGAAATGCTGTGTGTGCCATTAACCACAATCTTCAACACATCCCTTGAAACTGGGCAACTACCTAAGGTATGGAAGATGGCAAATGTAGTTCCCATTTTCCAAAAAGGAGACAGAAAAGAGGCACTAAACTACAGACCAGTGTCACTGACGTGTAAAGTATGCAAAGCCATGGAGAAGATTATCAGGAGTGGTGGTGGAGCACCTGGAACGGAACAAGAGTATAAACGACAACCAGCACAGATTCATGGAATGCAAATCCTGTGTCACAAATCTTCTGGAGTTTTATGATAAAGTAACAGAAGTAAGACACGAGAGAGAGGGGTAGGTTGACTGCATTTTCTTGGACTGCAAGAAGGCCTTCGACACAGTTCCTCACGAGATTTGTGCAGAAACTAGAGCATCAGGCGCGTATAACGGGAAGAGCACTGCAATGGATCAAAGAATACCTGACAGGGAGGCAACAATGAGTCATGGTATGTAATGAGGTATCACAGTGGGCACCTGTAACGAGCAGGGTCCCACAGGGGGTCGGTCCTAGGACCAGTGCTATTTTTGGTATATGTGAATGACATGATGGAAGGGATAGACTCAGAGGTGTGTCTGTTCACAGATGATGTCAAGTTAATGAGAATTAAATCAGATGAGGATCAGGCAGGACTTCAAAGAGACCTGGACAGGCTGGGCACATGGTCCAGCAACTGGCTTCTAGAATTCAACCCTGCCAAATGCAGTCATGAATATCGTAGAAGGGCAAAGAAGACCGCAGACGGAGTATAGGCTAGGTGGCCAACGACTATAAACCTCGCTCAAGGAGAAAGATCTTGGGGCGAGTATAACACCGAACACATCTCCGGAAGCACACATCAACCAGATAACTGCTGCAGCATATGGGCACCTGGCAAACCTGAGATTAGCATTCCGATACCTAAGTAAGGACACTGTACACAGTGTACGTCAGGCCCATACTGGAGTATGCAGCACCAGTTTGGAACCCGCACTGGGTCAAGCACATTAAGAAATTAGAGAAAGTGCAAAGGTTTGCTACAAGGTTAGTTCCAGAGCTAAGGGGAATGTCCTACGAAGAAACGTTAAGGGAAATCGGCCTGACGACACTGGAGGACAGGAGGGTTAGGGGAGACATGATAACGACATACAATACACTGTGTAGAATAGACAAGGTGGACAGAGACAAGATGTTCCAGAGAGGGGACGCAGAAACAAGGGGTCACTCTTGGAAGTTGAGACTCAGATGAGTCACAGGGATGTTAGGAAGTATTTCTTCAGTCATAGAGTGGTCAGGAAGTGGAACAGTCTGGCGAGTGATATAGTGGAGGCAGGAACCATGCATAGCTTTAAGACTAGGTATGATAAAGCTCATGGAGCAGGGAGAGAGAGAACCTAGTAACATTCAGTGAAGAGGCTGGGCCAGGAGCTGACTCTCAACCCCTGCAACTACAATTAGGTGAGTACACACACCTGGAAGCTGAAGGCTCAGATGAGTTACAGGGATGTTAGGAAGTATTTCTTCAGCCACAGAGCTGTCAGGAAGTGGAACAGTCTGGAAAGTGAGGCAGTGGAGGCAGATACCATACATAGCTTTAACCCTTAAACTGTCCAAACGTAGATCTACGTTCACGTGTGTAGCGCTCCGACCTTGATTTTCCCCATTTGAAAGCATGTAAAAAAAAACGTAGATCTACGTTCGGAGCCCACCGCACGTGGACATAGATCTACGTTTGGACAGTTTAACCCTTTGAGGGTTTTCGTCGTACTAGTACGTCTTACGCGTAGGGGTTTTTGACGTACTAGTACTCATAAATTCTAGCGGCCTCAAATCTAGTGGGAGAAAGCTGGTAGGCCTTCATATGAAAGAATGGGTCTATGTGGTCAGTGTGCACAGTCTAAAAAAAATCCTGCAGCACACAGTGCATAATGAGAAAAAAAAAACTTTGACCATTTTTTTTTAATAAATCAGCGACTTTGCAGTGTATTTTCGTATGTATTTATTGTTGTATTCTAGTTTTCTTGGTCTCATTTTATAGAATGGAAGACATTTTACAGAAATTGAGATGATTTTGACTGGTTTTACAAAGAAAAGTGCCTTGAAATTGAGCTCAAAGTAGCAGAAATGTTCGATTTTTACCAAACTTCAAAAGTACACAAATCGTGCCAAGCGTGCAATACACGTCAACTGGTGAGTCTAATATTCTTTCACAAGTGCACCAATAATATTTATACCATTTTTACACTAATGCAGTAGTCTGCATAACAGTAAATCTTATATTTTTTGTGAAAATAAAATTCAAAGTGGAAAGCAAAAGAATATAAGAGGGGCCTTGAGACGTTACTAATGACTAGAGGAAATGTCATTTTAGTGCTAGGAATGTCTTTCTTGTTATTCTGGACCTATTCGGAAATTGGCATCTTTGAAATTTGTGTGAAATTGGCAAAATTGCTAAATTCTGACCACTGTACTGGATAGTTGAATTTCATAAATGAGTAGTTTCTTGCACCCATCGATAGAAAAAATGGAGTTTCTAGCGAAATATTCATGTTTTTTGTCGACTAGTACAGTGAAATTGGCCGAAAATGGGGCTCAAAGTGGGCAAAATCGCCGATGCGTAAACATCGCCGAGACCGCTAACTTTGCGAGAGCATAATTCCGTAAGTTTTCTATCAAATTTCAAACTTTTGGTGTCTTTATGATCGGGAAAGATTCTCTATCTTTTCATAAGAGAAAATAATTTTTTTTTTTTTTAAATTTGGCCGACCCTGAGAACGAGTTTCGGAGAGGGCCTGTCGACCCTCAAAGGGTTAAGGGTTAAACTGTCCAAACGTAGATATATGTTTTCACACGATGCACTCCGACCTTGATTTTCCCCCATAAGAAAGAATGTAAAAAAAAATGTAGATCTACGTTTGGAAAGTTTAAGGGTTAAGAAGAGATATAATAAAGCTCATGGAGCAAGAATTGAGCCTAGTGGCAACCAGTGAAGAGGCGAGGACAGGAGCTATGACTCGACCCCTGCAAGCACAATTAGGCGAGTACGTACACACGCACACACAAGCGTACACGTGCACTCACACGCACAGACACAGGCCAGGAGCTGTGATTCGACCCCTGCAACCACACATCGGCAAGTACAAGCCCACACTGCCACATCAACTAAAAAACAAACTGAAACCACTTAATCATTAGGGTAATGCAGTGTATAAAGTGTATGTAATTTTATCAATACTGTTGATTCTTCCACTCAAAAGGCAACAATTTTTTAAATATTTCTAAAAATTATCAGGGATGTTAATAGCAAAATTTATCTTAAAATTGAAATATAATACAAAACTTACTTCGCAAAGAGATCCTTTCTTTGTTCTGGTGTCCAGGGTCGGCCATAGAAACCTGCAATACAATACAACTTGAAGTAATGTTACCTCTGTCCAGTTAGGGAATACTTATTCTTAGGAATTATTTGAGTCTCAAATACAACTTACATCCTTAGACAACGATGTGTGATGTCACTGTGGTTGTTCAATATATTTATAGAAGAGGTTGTAAGAGAAGTGAATGCAAGGGTCTTGGCAAGATGTGTGGACTTTAAACATAAAGAATCAAACACAAAGTGAGAGTTGTCGCAGTTGCTCTTTGCTGATAACACTGTGCTTTTGGGAGATTCTGAAGAGAAGTTGCAGAGGTTGGTGGATGAATTGGTAGGGTATGTAAAAGAAGGAAATTAAAAGTGAATATAGGAAAGAGTAAAGTGATGTGGATAACAAAAAGATTAACTGATGAAAGACTGGATATCAGATTGCAGGGACAGAGTATGGAGGACGTGAATGTATTCAAATATTCAGGAGTGGACGTGTCAGCAGATGGGTCTATGAAAGATGAGGTGAATCACAGAACTAATGAAGGGAAAAGGGTAAGTGGTGCACTTAGGAGTCTGTGGAGACAAAGAACTTTGTCTGTGGAAGCAAAGAGTGGGAATGTATGAGAGTATAGTTATACCAACATTCTTATATGGGTGTGAAGCATGGGTGATGAATGTTGCAATGAGGAGAAGGCTGGAGGCAGTGGAGATGTCATGTCTGAGGGCAATGTGTAGTGTGATTATAATGCAGAGAATTCATAGTTTGGAAATTAGGAGGAGGTGCGGGATTACCAAAACTATTATCCAAAGGGCTGAGGAGGGGGTTGTTGAAGTGTTTCGGACATGTAGAGAGAATAGAACGAAACAGAATGGCTTCGAGAGTGTATATATCTGTAGTAAAGGGAAAACGGGGTAGAAGTCGGCCTAGGAAAGGGTGGAGGGAGAGAGTAAAGAAGGTTTTGTGTGCAAGGGGCTTGGACTTCCAGCAAGCATGTGTGAGCGTATTTGATAGGAGTGAATGGAGACAAATGGATTTCAATACTTGACGTGCTGTTGGAGTGTGAGCAAGGTAACATTTATGAAGGGATTCAGGGAAACAGGCAGGCCGGACTTGAGTCCTGGAGATGGGAAGTAGCACAGTGTCTGCACTCTGAAGGAGGAGTGTTAATGTTGCAGCTTTATAACTGTAGTGTAAAGCACCCCTCTGGCAAGACAGTGATGGAGTGAATGATGATGACAGTTTTTCTTTTTCGGGCCACCCTGCCTTGGTGGGAATCAGCCAATGTGTTAATAAAAAAATAATATTAAGTTTGTTAATAGACAGTCATCAATAATGTATTAACGAATCAATCATGTGCTGGCAAGACAAAGTGGAGTCAGCAGCTCAGACAATTGGTTTAAGAAGTTACAGGGCATTCAGTGGATCATAGGGATCATACAGCACCTGGAAAAAATGGGAAGCAATTGGGTTCAATCCACAGAAGGCAAGGACATCCAATTCCTTGCATCAAGAGTCCCCTGTTAAAAACAATGTACATGTACTGTATTATGATACTGACAAATGTATAAAAGTGAATGGTCATAACCATTTGATGAAGAGCAATCTGTGGTGAGTGAGGGCCCTGAATCTGCACTCTCTAAAAAGGAGTAGAATTAGGAGGGACATGATTGAGGTGTATAAATGGAAAACAGGAATAAAGGGAATGTAAACAGTGTGCTAAAACTATCTAGCCAAGACAGGACTCGCAGCAGTAGTTTTAAGCTGGAAAAATTCAGATTCAGGAAGGATATAGGAAAGCACTGGTTTGGCAATAGAGTTGTGGATGAGTGGAACAAACTCCCAAGTACCGTCATTGAAGCTAAAATGCTGTGTGGTTTTAAAAAAATGTTAGATAAATATCTGGGTGGGTGTGAGTTCAACCTGACTAGCTTGTGCTAATTGGTCTGATGCTGTGCTCCTTCTTTAAGTGGATGTGACCTGACCTGACATAGTTGGGTCATCGACTTAAGCCAGTGGGAGACTTGGGCCTGCCTCGCATGGGCCAGTAGGCCTGCTTCAGTGCTCCTTCTTTCTTATGTTCTTATACATTAATTATGTGTAGCATAATTCCAATTTAAGTAAATTGTAAAGGGAATGTAGATCAATGGTTGGTATGTTACAGGCATAAAAACACTGGCAAACTTCAAGTTTAATAAAAAATTATTTAGTAGTTTTGTGAACAAATCTGTATTTTCTGTACTAAAGACATTAGGGAATGGATTCAACAATGCAATTAGATAATGAAGTTGTGCTTCTCTTGAATTTGAATGGTGGCGAAGGTGATCTTATAGAGGTCCATGACAAACTGGTTTCACTAGCTATACTTATTACATCATTTGCATTATCCTCAAGGCACTAATTACCCCAGTAGGTTTCCTTAGATAATTTCATTACATTTTTCAAGTGTTCTCAATCTCTCAATTTAAAAAAAAAAAATTTCACTGACGTTTGCAGTTTTACTTCCCTTGTCATCTTTTTGCTTCCTCACATTCTTTTAATGTTTATCATAATGATCTTGTGTTGATGTTACGGTTCAAAACTTAATCTTTAGCCAGGTTAGTGCACTCCGTAACAACACACTTCATAGAATGAAAGGATATGGTTCCAAACTTAGAAATGTAAGGCACAAATAATAGTTACTCAGTCTTTTCAAGTTTCTTTTTATTTAAAAGCTTAAATACTTTAGATATTCATAAATATCTATTAAAACCCTTTGACTGTTTTCGACGTAAAAAATACGTCTTACGAGCCAATGTTCTGACGTATATATACTCAATAATTCTAGCGGCTTCAAATCAAGTGGGAGAAAGCTGGTAGGCCCACATGTGAGAGAATGGGTCTGTGTGGTCAGTGTGCACCAATAAAAAAAATCCTGCAGAAACACATTGCGTAATGAGAAAAAAAAAAACTCTGATCTTTTTTTTTGGAATAAAACGCCAACTTTGAGGTGTATTTTCGTTTTAGTATTTATCGTTTGTATTCGCGTTTTCATGGTCTTAGGTGATAAAATGGAAAACATATTACAGAAATAGAGATGATTTTCATTACTTTTTCGATGAAAACGACCTTGAAACTGAGGCTCAAAGTAGCGGAAATGTTCGATTTTTACCAAGTTCAAGAGTACATAAATCACACCACACGTCCAATACACGTCAACTGGGGAGTCTAATAATTCTTTCACTAGTGCACTGATATTTATTTATACCATTTTTACAATAATGCAGTCGTCTGCATAACAGTAAATTTTGTATTTTTTTTGTATGAATAAAAAATCAAAATAGAAAGCAATAATAAAATAAGAGGGCCTAGAGATGTGACTAATGAACAGAGCATATGTTATTTAGTGCCACGAATGTCTACCTTGTTTATTCTGGACCCTATTTGAAATTGGCATCTTTTTTTATTTGCGTGAAATTGGCCAAATTGCCAATTTCTGACCACCATATTGGGTAGTCCAAATTAGTAAATGGGAGGTTTCTTGTACTCAGCTGATAGATAAAATGGAGTTCTAAAGAAATAGCTATGAGTTTGGTCAACTGGAACAATGGAATTGGCTGAAAATTGGGCTCAAAGTCGGCGAAATCGCCGATACGCATATGTCGCCGAGACCGCTAACTTCGCGGGAGCATAATTCCACGAGTTTTCGACCAAATTTCGAACTTTTGGTGTCATTACCATCGGGAAAAGATTCTCTATCATTTCATAAGAAAAAATAATTTTTTTTTTTTCAAAAATTGAGCGACATAGAATGACAGTTTCAGAGAGGGGCCTGAAACAGTCAAAGGGTTAAATATCACTGTCAGAAACTTTCCTTCACATAAGAAAACTCTTAAATAGAAAGTACATGTCAATATGGTCACTACACTTGATAATGGTCAGAGGAATATTACCGCTTCCTCAATAGTAACATTACTTGTGTGCAAGTACATATATTGAGAATTAACACCTTTCACTGAGTAAACTCCCTGGCATAAGGAATATATCACAAAGTTCTAAGCTTGACACTGGTCGTCACATCGTAACCTGAAGATAACAGTATATGATTGTCAGAAGACTTCACAATAAACCACAAGCTGGATCAGGAGTTTCTATAACCCAATTCTCTATCCAAGTGAGAATAAGGCGGAGTACTAGGAGGGTAGCTCAGTCAATGCACACTGAGTCAGCAGAGAGAGTGAACTGCCCTATACAGTAAAATTCCTTCATGACATCAACTCGTCAAAAAAGGGGGGGAGGGTAGAGCGGTGCAAACTACCCACCAATGGAGATACCTTGTTATAAACCTTAGCCAGGTGTACCTACCTAACACATTACTCAAGATATATATATATACATCATACCCGGGTATATTCCTAAATCAGATAATATTATAAACTAGTGGAATCTTTAATTTAGCTAATATTAAAGAAACCCAGAGTATAATATTAAGTGGATAATACATATAAATTAATCACATTATGACCTTGGTCATAACAGTTGACATCTTCACTACCTAACTTTTCTCTTCCGAATGGAGTATTTATACTTTATTACTTTAAAGACTCAATATGAATACTTTCACTCTGGACTTTATTATTTGAGCACATTGTACGATGTGGCTTTTGTCAGATTATTATTATTATAATCAAGGGGAAGCGCTAAACCCAGAGGATTATTCAGCGCCTGGGGGGGGGGGATGTGGAAGGCATTCAGGCTTAATTCGGGGAACTGGAGCACAAATCCAATTCCCAAAATCAAGAGCCCCTCACCAACATCAAGGAACCTTCCTTGAGGGGGGCTTTTGTCAGAAGGTTCTAATATGTACGTACATGGATTCGCTTGGAATCTCGAACATTTATCTGACATGCTCTAACATGTTAATGCTTTGTGGAGTATAACATCAACAGTTTTTAATAATAATAATAATAATATATATACATACATGTATGTATATACGTATATATATACATATATTTTTTTTCAACCAGTCGGTCGTCTCCCACCGAGGCAGGG